ATACCCATGTGACAGTAGATCTAACCCACAGGATTTTCTAGGCTCTAATCTTTGCAGGAGCAGATCTCCAGGTCTTTCTGCTATTGAGCTGCTGAAAGAATTAAAAACTCCAGCCTTTCTTTTAGCAGCCGAAAGCCACCATCTGGGGGTAGTTCTAGTTCTTGCTGGAAATCTGACTAATGGAGCATATTTCACAGTGGTTCCCAACATTATGCTTTTATTCTACCCAAGAATGAAATGACCTTAGCAATAGTGGCTCATTATGGCTATAATCCTTAATGGGAGCATATTTGAATTTTGGGTAGGAGAAGGAGGAGGAGGAGAAGAAGGAAGCCGTTTGTAAGTTGAAAAAAATGTTCCGTCAGATGTTCTTTGTTATACCCCCTCCCCCTACGAAGAAAGTGCACCCATGCCTTGAAACCTAGTATTTTAACATGTGTTATTCCTAATTGATCTTCAGAAATGTGGAAGATATTCCCATCTTGGGGCCTTTGCATTTGTTCTTCCCTTTGTCCTCATTCAACAACTCATTTAAAATAATACCCCCCCCATCCCTTTACCCTGTTTTATTTTTTATGAATTTAATGTATCAATTCCTGACATTCTGTTACATATATTTATTTGTTAATGTTCTGAATTCTCCCATTAGACTGTGTGGTGGTTACGGTTGTGTGTCATCTTGGCTGGGTCTGGTTTTGAGTGACTGGGCAGCTGGATATAATTATTTCCCACGATGAGACTGGTAACCAACTCCATAGTACAATCTACTGTAGCAGCTGAGTAGCTGCCTTAGGGATGGAGTCTGCTTCCAGTATAGAAGAAGAAGCTTTGAGGAAGGTATCTAGTTTTTTGGCACATTGGGATCCTGCATTTGGCTGAGTCTTCCTCTCAGTAGCCTGCCATGTTGTCTGCTGATCTTGGGACTATCTCTGGGGTGGAACTAGTGGCCTGCTGTGCTGCTTAATAATCTTGAGACTGTGGCATTTTACTTGTTGACCTTGGATTTGTCAGCCTAAGCAGCCAGCAGCTGCCTGACTTAAGAGGAGCTCTAGTGGGCTGGGAGCAAGAGGCAGAGCTGAAGCCCAAGGTTGAGGGGCCTTCACCCAACCCCAGAGCTGGCACTTTGAATCCAGACTTCTAGCCTCCCAAACTGTAAGAGAATAAATCCCTATTTATACAAGCCATTTACATTTGTGGTATATCTATTACAGCAGCATTAGAGAGCCAAACAGACTGTAAAATCTATGAGGGCAGATTCCTTATCTGTTCACTCTTGTTTCCTGAGTAGCTATGTTTGACACGTAGTAGGCGATCAAGAAATGGTAATTGTCATGTTATTAATTTCTGAAATAGCTGGGAATGAATGAATAAATGTGTCTGACTATTTTAGAGTATGAAACATTAGGGAAAGATATTGTGTTTAACTCTGCGTTTATTCTATAATAATGAACAAATGAATGAAAGTGAATGACTGCCCATGTAAGTAATTATCTCCTAGATTAATTGCCTCCCAAGTACATCTGGTTTCTCCTTCTGTAATGTACTAATGGTAGCATAGTGGCTAAGACACTTGCCTGCTAACCAGACGGCTGGCGGTTCAAACCCACCAGCCACTTCTCGGAAGGAAGATTGGGCAATCCTACTTCCGTGGTGATACTGCCTTGGAAACCCAAGGAGGGGTCTCTATGAGTCGGGTTTGACTCGACGGCACATAACAACAACAACAACAACAATGATACCTTTAATTTAGGGATGTAACTGCTAAAATTTTTCAAAATTCTCTTTACACATTTGCCTAGGGTACAAGAATCTGTTGTTGTTATGGAATGTACAAAGGTATGAAAATATTAACAAATGCCAAATAAATGCTATATATATATTTTTTCTCCAAAAGGAGGCCTCATTGTGTCAGTTAAAACTTAAGGAAAAAGATAATTCTTTAAGAATTATATCCGTCGTTATTGAAAGCATGAGGTACTGGCGTGAACATGCACCGAAAGCGATACTTCTTTTTGAAATATTAGGTAAGTATAATACAGGCATGCATCACACAATGTCTGTTCAGGCAACATCCAACTGCATGTACGTCCATGGTCACAACACTCAACATAAATAGCAATAGACATTCCTATCAAGAGATGAAGTGGATCATGCTTTCATATGTGATGGTTAGCTTGCACAGTGCTTTAATAGCCCTAAGTTTCTAGATTGACCTCTAGACTCATCAAAAGTAGAGATTTAATTTTATTCTATTTTAGTGCTTAGCACAGTGCTGACATATAGGAGGTCCCTGTCAGCTGCAGCTGAGAAAAAAAAAAAAATCAAGGTTAGTTTCTTACGTAATAACGGGTAATTCATGGAACTGAAAGGTTGCTAGGTTACTAACTTCAGGCAAGGCTTGATCCTGCTGCTCAGGAGTAGCATAATGATTTTTCTTTCTTTCTTACCATAGCGTTGACCTCATTCTAATACCACACATTATGGCTCCCAGAAGCTTCTTCTTTTGCGGGGAGGAGGAGGGCAGATAGGCAAGTCCCAGAAGCTTTTGGAACTCCTCTTATAATGCCAAAATGATTACCAAAGTTCTCTAAACCACACATCATTGTACCACACTTCACATTCTTAGATAAGTTTCTTCTGGTGCTTTTTACAAAAACTAGCATATGACTCTTTGCATATCATTATTTCTGACAAGGTAACATACCTGTCAGTGAAAGCTTGAACTATAGCTGTGGAATAGAATATGATAATTGGTTGAAGCCAAGGATCACCCCTGGATCTGAGGATGGCGACAAATTCTATCTGAATCATTTGGCTAAAAATGGCATAGGAGAAGTTTCCTAAAGGAAAATCTGGGTATTATTATCAGAAGGAGGAAAAATGGAGGCTGGTCTCAAAGTAACAGGGAAGAGATGGGAAGAGTGCTGTTAGGTTGTGGGTATTGCAATGAATGTCACAAAACAAAATGTGTATAAGTTGTTGAATAGAAAACCAATTTGCTCTGTAAACTTTCACCCAAATCAGAATTCAAAAAAAGTCTACTACCAGCCAGTACTCAATAAATGGTTTTTCAATGACTGAATAAATGCTCTCATTTGATAATAATTTGTTGAGATAAATGTGAATTCATATATGTGTTTTATAGACAAAGAAATAGATTTGAAAAAGTTTAAACAATTTTCTCAAAGTTACAAAATATTAGTAAGTTGAATATTGGAATCCAATGCATGAGTTCTGATTCTAATTAATTTTTTTCATTAAACTATGATGCTTACTTGTTTTAAATGTGTATTTATTGTTAGTATTATGTAGACTTGCCTAGGGATTTAACTACTCTATGTAAGACATTCTGAGGAAAAGCTTCAGATGGCCAATTAT